ATTGTCAACACGTATGTAGTTTTATCTTATTTAGTACAATTTCACTTAATTTAATGTTGCTTTTCTGGCATCCACGAAACTACTTCTTAAAAAAATAAGTGGCGGGGCTGGAGATTTAGCTCAGCGGCATAAGCACCTGCCTTGCAAGCAGGCAGTCATGAGTTCGATCCCCGGTACCGATAAAAAGACAAAAAAAAAATAGATGTAAAAAAAAAATAAGTGGCTCTGCCACAGATGTCCACACACATGCCCTACTTTCCTCTAGGGCGATACAAACTGGCCACATCCTCGTGACCTTTATATACTTAGAAAGGCAAATAACTACAAAATCAGTCCAAGTCATATTTACCGATCTATCACATACAAGATAGTGCACTGGGAACTACAGAGAATAGAAACGTTAATTCACGCACTGACTCTTCCTTGAAATCTGCTATCTCAAAACAATAACACAAAAAATAATAACACCCACCAAAGTAGTCTAATAAGTTAAGTCATGAATTTCAACACAGTTTCAGGGAAGAAAACAGCTGCCTACAAATTAGGGTAGCAGAGACGGACAGCATCAGGACCCAGAAGAACAGAGTGGACCCCAGGCTATGTCCCCACAGTAAGGATGTGCAGGAGCTGCATTCCTCACTTTCGTGCCATGGAACCTAGGATAAAGCCTGGCCCAGTACAACGTAAGTTCCTGTTTAATAGTTATTGGAATTATAGTGCTGGCTGTCATTTCAACTTACTGATTTGCCTTCTTTATTCAGTCAAGTTATCACTATCACTAATAGGAATCGTGAACTTTGCATCCTTATGACACTGTGATTTGATTATTAAGTGCTGAAAGAAGATAGAAAAGATGTCGGGCCTGAATCTGCCTCACCCTTCATTGCTCTCAGACTAGGATTTATGAAATGTGTCAGGTTTGGGTAATCCTAGGTCTTTCTCTATTCATGTGGAATAGCAGAAATTAAAAGTATATTCCTTGACTTGAGAAATTCTAAGACGTTCAGGCATCATACAAATCACCAGAAAGCTGCACTGAAATTCCTCTAAACAAATGTTCTTTTTTCTTTTGTACTATGGTATCTTCATATGTGTATATGAAATATTTTAAGCATATTTTTTCCTCTGTCCCACCCTCTCCAACGTCTTCTTCCTAGACCAGAGTTTCTTAACCTAGGGTTTCAAAACTGTACTCTCAGGAGACCCCTGAAACCTCTTCAGTTGCTGGATGCATTATATCCATAGGCGCATGTGTGCTTTCCTAAGAATGATGTATAAATTGAATCAGGTTTCAAAAGTTTCTGAATGTGGGGCCGGGGATTTAACGCAAAGGCATAAGCACCTGCCTTGCAGGCACGGGGTCATGAGTTTGATCCCTGGTACCAAAAAAAAAAAAAGGTTTCTGAATCCAAGTAAATTTAAAACCAAAACCTGTGAGAAGGATTAAGAAGTGTCTAGACACACAGAGCTGTCACTTGTGTTTCATGAAATACTTTCAATAAATATTCATGTGCAAGGTCATTTCAGAAAAGTTATTTTAGTGTTTTTGCTGATTTATCTCATTTGAAAACAATTTAGGATTTTTCTCTTTAATAATATGTATTTCTTGACACCCAACACCATAATTACATTGTTGTTGTAAATTACCTGCTTTCACACTTAAATTTTCTTGTCTAAGAAATTACTCAGCCTTCTTGATTTTGCTTGTTTATTTTGGTTTAATTCCACTGCTCTGCTTTCTGGGTAGGGCATGTCTCATTGCAGCTTGGGGTGCTGCAGTGGGTAAAATACTCACTGTGAGGTCCCTGAATCACCTGAGACCCAGACAGCGGCAAACAATGATTCACTGAATGAGGGCAGCACTAAAATCACACTTTACACAGACAACAAACAGGCCTCCTTACCTAAACCTGAAACAACAGTAGTATAGAATTCAGTTCTGCCTCCACCAAAATAAAAATGTAAAAAACCCTCACCCTATACATTCTCTCAAAATAAAACACAGGGCAAGTAGATTCCCAAGTGCCCTGGGCTCTCTTTCATACAATGAGGCTACTTGAATTCTTAGTTCCTCCTACCAAATGGAAGCTCTAACAGGACACAGATTTTTATTGCAAGAGATTAAAACAATACAATCGAACCCAGTGTGAATGTTAAGTGATATACTAGAAAATGAATTGAGTGGATTTTTTAAAAGAATAAACTTGTCTACGAAACCTCATGAGGAGTTCACCAGGCATGCAGGTCTGTACACTTCCCAAACAAACCTTGAGAAAGAAGGCTTTCTTCAGGTGCAGCACAAAAGAGACAGAGGGGCTCTCAAGGTCAGGAGCCACCATCGCACCGAGGCCAGGTGTGCAGGGCTTGGAGAGTGAGGAGCCCCAGGCAACTGCACACTTACACTTTCCTCTCTGCCCTTTCCCCAACCTCCTGTCCCTGTGCAAAGGAGCCTCGACCTGCCTAGAGCCGGGACCTGCACCTCCTGTCTCAGGAGAGGAGACACCACAGCTCACACCCTTGGCATGAGATGTCTGGAGAAGCAGGTAAACATTCTGAAATTTAAAGTTATTTTCTCCTACAGATTGCAAAAATGTAAGTAAATTTTCTCCTACAGGTGACAAGAATGTAAATTTCCACATCTTCTCTGAGCAACCTCCACCATGTAATTCTCTGATCCTCAGTCATATTGATTCTCCAAATCCACAACAGTCACATCGTTTCTCTGAAATACTCAACTCAGTTTGATCTCACCCCTATTATATATCTCAGTTTGATCTCACCCCTATTATATATTCTGTTTTTTCATCAGCCTGCAGTGATCATCTTGTGCTTTTGTAACACTATAAACATAGAAGACCCTAAAGATATTTAAAACAAGGCCTCCAGAACTGTCCAGGTAGTTACTAGATTCTAGTACGACAGAGACTGCCAGAAAATAATGAAAGCCACACATAGAATAACAGCTGATAAAGTGTCAGAATGCATAATAGGAACAAAAAAAGGGCTGCACACAGTTGAAGGAGGCGTCCCCAACCTCACTTCACGCTGCTCCCCACTTCCCAGTTTTGTTTCAGTGCCTAGCAACCAAGCATCGCCCGTGTAGTCTGCGGCACTGCCAGCTACTCCTGACAGCTCCCTTCCCGTCTTCAACGCCTGTCTGAGGGCGACCTCCGCTGTGAAGTCGGCCCGCCCTTGTGCCTCCAGCCTAACTGACCGCATCCTTCGCACCTACGCATCCTTCACACCTGCGCGTCCTTCACACCTGCGCATCCTTCGCACCTGCGCGTCCTTCGCACCTGCGCGTCCTTTGCACCTGCGCGTCCTTCACACCTGCGCGTCCTCCTGCTGGCGCTCTCAGCCTTCCTGGCTCCCTGAACCTAATTCGATTATGTGCTGAACCGAGTCACTGGAGAAAAGCTTTGTTTCCCCTCTCGGTCACTGTCTATTAAGCACCCTGTGCTGTGCCGGCAAACAGCAGAGAAAGCAGAAAGAGGCGCCAAGGCTCCCATGATCACCGTGCAAATTCAGGTGTCCCTCGTTTACCGACGGCCACTTTAACGACCTTCGGATTTATGTTTACCATTCACTTCTTTTATATTTTTCTGTACATTTTGTTGATAGTACCTACTTCTTTTTTGTACAGAACACCTTGTTTAGACAGTTCTGTGATTTTTGCTGATTATACTGCACAGTGCAGTACTTATCTTTATACTGTTACACATTCCAGTACTGCATGTAAGAGTTGTGCAAATAAAAGTTAAGTCATCAAGCTGGAGTTTCCTTTCATCATTTGTTCGTTCTGAATATTATAATGTACAAACCAATTACAATTCATCATTTAGCAACCAGTTTATTCAGGGATCTAGTCTCAGAATGGAACTCAGTCATTAATCTTACAGGTCTGGCCCAGATTTATCATTTATTTGATTTCAGAAATTATTGAAGGGACCCACCTGCCTCTGCCTTGAAACTTACAGATGGCACTTGCCTGTTCTTAGTGTGAAAGAAACCTCAGTGGGTCTTTTTCTTGTGTTTTCCTTAAGTTCCAGAGTCTTTTCCCTCAACTGAAATGAGGAACGACAGGCCTGCACGTTCAGCACTAAGGCAAGAGGGTGCCCCTGAGTTCAGGGCCAGATCCTGCCTCAAACACATCAAAAAGAAATAACAGACTATTCAAACCTCTGAAAAGCAATCTAGCCATATTTATTGAAATATAAAATCCAGATGTCCTTTAAAATAGTACTTCCAGGAATATCACCTACAGATACATTTACATATGCAAATAAGTTTTATGAGCATGTTCATTGTAACACTTTTATCAATACAAAGTAAAATGGAGATGGCTTTATTTTTCATCAAAAGAAAATTGTGATATGATATAATTTAACCATTAAATAAATAAAATTAATCCGTGTGTACTGAAAAAATTGTTCATTAAGTAAACTTAGATAAGTTACAGAGTAATACACATAATAAACTTCACTTTTTAAGTATATACAGAGCACTATATATATTGGTATTTCATTATGTCTTCATTTTACGTGATAAAGCAGGTAACTTTGAACATAGTTTAGTAAAGATGAAAATGGAGTTTAATTTTTTAATTATGCAAGGCATGTTTCTGTGAATACCCTCTAGTCAAATGTTAGACACTGAGTAACATAACGTCTGTACCTAATAACCCACCTAATGAAGTGTTGGGAAATGAAAGAAACCAAATGATCTCACAGACAGCTAAATCCTGATTGGTTCTCAAGTTGCCAATATTCTGGAGCTGAGTTTAAATTCTGTCTACAAATTCAAATCACCAAAAGATAAAAATATTTTACCAGAGTAAACTGAAGAAGTCACTTGGATATTGAATATCATTTCATCTGTGTATTTTACCTGGTGAACACAAGGTAACTCTACAATTAGCAATGTTTAGTGTGGAATGTTTTATCTTTTTCATGTATCATGTATCTCAAAAGGGAAAAAATGAAGTGCAAGATATTTTGATATTTTGTTATTAGATGGGAATAGAGCATAAGGAGATGGCACTGAATGTCTGCTAGGTGTGGAGACAAAATTATGTTTATCAAATGAAAATCAGAACAATGAACAGGAACTTAGTTTATGCAAATAAATGTATTAAATTATAAAGACTTGGAAAATGAATCCATTTGCCAATGTGGAGACTTACAGGAGCTTAGTGATTATTTGCAGCCGATCTGAAGTGGGGATACTGTTTTGTTGTTATAGGTGGCCATCTGAAACATGAAGACTGTGATTCTGCTGCTTGGTCTCCTCGGATGGGCTCAGTCCTTGCCAGTAAGTGCAGTCTGTTTGCTTCTGAATCCCAGCCTTGCAGCAAAGCTGGCCGCAGGCTTCTCTCTTCCTGTAGCCATCAGAACTCATTTATTTTATGATGCATTTTTTCAGTTTCATGTTTTTATCTTCAAGGGAAAAGATAACACACTAATAAGGTGTTGGTCTGTATTTAAGTAGCTTGCATTTTAAAATATCTTTACAGTTGTAGAAGAATTTCTACAACTTCAGGGGTTAGGAATGAGGGAAAAAGGAATACCTTGGGCCATATCTACTTAAAATGGATAATTATTTCACTTTCCAAAAATTTCTTGGCAACTAATTTTTTGTTCATCATTAAAGAGTAAATTAATGTTCTTATTTTTTCCTAATCAAGTAATATCTAGATTATATAAACTCTAAAATGTCTATCAAACTGTGTGACACTAAAACCATATTATAAAGTGTCTCAGGATGTTTCTTCACAAAAGGTGTTCACATCTAACAGACTCTGAAGGAAAAGAGAATCAATATTTCACACTCGATATCTGCTTGATGAACACACACATGGGGATTTGGATCTCTAAATGAACTTCTCTTTGTTCAAGATACTTGAGTGTGGACCTTAAGCAAAGAAAAATAATACTCTTAGCTTTACAGCTATCCATATAATCAACAAATACTGATTGAAACCTCTTTGTGTGCCAGACACTATACTGTTTGCTGAAAACACAATGGCAGGAGGCAGGGGCTGGCCCTTTAGAAAGCCTTTGTATATCCACCCAGTAATTGTGGTTAAAAAAATTAATTATAAATACTGTGATTAGAGCCATGATGGAAATAAACAGGGTAAGCTTATGGGAGAATGGAAGATAACATGAATAACCAATGCCCCTTACTTCATTCCACATCCATGTACATTTCCTCCCAGAGAGAAGCAGCCCATGTAGATTTAATCTTTGAAACAAGGTAAAGTAGGAAATTATTTTTTGTAAAATAGATATTTCACTGCACAGAATAACTTTACCAAAAGGTTCTTCAAAATAAAATATAGCATGCTTAAATTTCCATAGAATTGTTGAAAACTCCAGATAAATAAAATGCAGCAGAATCACAGTGAAGGGGACTGAGGCGCCCAGGGCAGAGGGTTACACCCTGCTGGAGGAGCAGTAGCCGGGGTGGGTGGGCCACAGGCAGACGGCTCTGGATGTCTGCCAGGTGGGGAAATCAAATGAAGATCAGGACACAAGAGCAGCTTTCTCTTATGTTATACAGATGAACTATACTGAATTCTAAAGGCAAGAAAATGAAACTGTTTGCAAATGTGGAGACTTGCAGCAATCTAGTGATTCTTTTCAGGGGATCTAGAGTCGAGGTAGGTGTCAGATGGTAAATACTGAGGAGAAAGAAGGAATTCGAATGGATCAAAGTCAAAGGAAGTAGGTGGACTGAAACAAACCAAGATTTCACTCTTTCGAAAAACATTTTGGTGCCTACTGTGTGTTAGACACTGGTTTATCTGCTTGAGTAATATCTATCATTTGTGCTCTTGTGACATTTATATTCTGACAAGGAAACAAATGATGAGTGGTAAACATCCTGAACTGGGAGAATAAGTGCGTGTTGGAGGCAGGAAGCACTAAGGAAAAGATTGCAGGTCAGAGGCAGGCTGATGTATGGCAGAGGAGCGAGGTCAAAGTAAGTTACGATAAGAAACAAGAAAGCAATGCAAGACCCAGGATACAAGCAGAGTAAAGCAACACCTGGCAGAAGAGGGTTCCGGGCAGAGAAAACGGATGTCCATGGGATGCTGAGGCAGGAATGGGCTGTGCCAACCCCAGAGGGAGAAAAGAGACTGCTAATCTGAGCAGGGTGACCACAGGAGATGAGGCAGGAAAAGATCCGAGATCACTGGGATCCACAGTATGAGGCTTTACAACCATGTGAGGGCTGTACCTCGGACTCTGAGTGAAATTAGCAGTCGTTCAGTGGGCTGAGCAGAGGAAGTGACAGGATTACTGCTTTCAAAGGTTCACTCCGGCTGCTGTGTTAATTCAGATGCTTTCCCAGGCTTAGTGCCAGGGACTGGTAATGCCACCATGCTTTTTACAACTAAAAGTGAAAAGTCCAAAGGGAAAACAAGAGTTGATTGCTCTGGGGCTGGTACACATGGAAGGCCACCTCTCCCTGCTTGCAGAGACATATCCAGGAACAAAGAGTGGCTACTGTCAGCCAGAAGGGCTACAAAGAGATTCCAGGGATCCTGGTGCTGGACCTGCCACTCACTACATTGCCTAGATAGGTAGCTGGTCCCTCACATCTACAAAGAAAAGCCACACAACTAGACCAGAGGGTAGCAAGGACATTTTCAAATGTCCTACAAATCAGTGATTCCTAATACCTCACACATACCCTGGCCAGGAAAGAGATTTAAACTTGCGTTACAGGGTCAACATGACAGGCACAAGGCAGAAATGAGAAACTAAAGAAATAAAATAGGCTTCATGATAATTCAACTCAAGCACTGGAAAAAAGCAAATACACACAGAGCTAAGATACAGAGTGTACATTTCCTATCCAGACAAAGGAGAAAAGCAGTTACAGGAAAAGAACAGAAGCCAAGGAAAACCAATAGAAAACCCACGTGCTCTGGGTCTCCTATTCCCTCCCCCATTCCTTTCAATTTTTCCATTCTACAGTTCCATCTCCTGCATGCACAAAGTGTTCCAAGAATTAAAACTGTTCAAAATATAGAGAGTTTAAAGATAGGCATTTTTGCAACAGCACAACCTGTTACCTTCTCCACATAAATAGATATAAAATCTGAATTGCATTCCTGCCTTTGGAATATTTGTATTCACAGAAGCAACTTAACTCTGCTTTGGAAGTTTCTCCAACAAAACCAGCTCCAGACCAGGTGACACCACTCAGCCAACAGCAGCCTACTCAGGTAAGTGTCCTATGATAGAAAGATTTCCCAACCAGCAAAGGGACACACTGAGACAGATGGGCTTGAAATCAAGATTCACACAGTGTCTCATTAATGAACAAGATAGAAGGTTTTACCTTTGAGAGGAAAAAAAAGGACCCAAAACACTTTTTAAAAAATAAAGAAAGCAAAACGCTATCATTATTTTGCCTTTTGTTTGAATAATTGTTTGTCTCAGCAATTAAATCTAATGAACTTTGAAAAGCAATAGCAATATCTGTTTTGAAAATCTTGCCATCAACGCCCTTGAAAGACTGCTATTCTTGTGAAAGTGCAGAGGCGATGGAAATTAAAACTGCAGATTTCCTTGCGCTTTTCTTAAGTTTCACTGTCAAGCTGACATGTTGCTGCAGAATCTATTTCTTTAAAGGATATTTAAATACTTTTTGAAACTGAAATATACTTGGTGAATATAGTCCCTGCTTCCTCTGCCATAAAGTATTATAATCCCAAATATTGAGTACAGTTATCCAACTGTTGTAATCCCTTTGCCAGTTTTCCTCAAAATTGAAAAAGTTATATTTGAAATCCCATTGAGACGTTATTGGAATCTCAGCAATTCCAATCTATCACCTCGAATGCAACCCACAGCGAGAGTAAAGACACCAAGACATATTCCAAGTTAAGGGCAGCCAAGGGATCCTAAATCCAGTCCCAGTGAGGATATGTGGACAAAGGCCCTGATTCTAGGCCTCTCCCAGAACTTATTATCTTATGAAGAAGGAGGTGGTTTGAGGATGAGTGACAGTGAGGATGGTGGGAATTGTGTGAGTAACTTGAGCTGGCTGGCCAGGTAGCGAGAAAAGCATCTCTGTAAAATGCAGAGACAAGGATATGCAGAAGGATCAATTTGCATAATTCAATTAAGGTAGCAACTGAATTGTTTTAGGAGGCTGTTGCTTTGGTTTCTGATATGTAAACTTTTGTGCCCTGGGGAGTCATAGCCTCTTTACCTTGAGCTGATGGCTCTAACATCCTGCTGTGCTTATATATTTTAGAGAGAACACAAAGCAAGCAAACAGGAGACTATCTGATGGCTTTAGAGATTACATATCAATACCTTCTGCTAGGCTTATGTGCAATGCTTAGGGCCCATTGAAGACAAAAGGAAATACTATACTCAGCTCTGTACATATCAGTATGAGAAAATCAGTCTGGATATAATCAAAGTTGCAGCAATTGTTCTGCATTCAAGGGGAGTCACTGTAGCTGTCTCCCACAATAAAGGACACTGTGATACCTCATCTAGACTTTGTTAAATAATACAAACTGTTAATACTATACTGGAGCTTAAAGTTGCCTTTTTAGTGGGTGGACACTGCAGAATGTTCAAGTTAGACCCTGCGGTTCAAACAATTTTAAGATTCTTCTTAAGGAAAATACAAATTAGATATGCAGAATTAGATATCAAAGTGAATACTGATAGACTTTTTGGCATGGCTAAAAAGATAGAAATATGAAATAAAAGTGGCCTTTATTTTAAGAATGCAAAGAGTCAACCCCATGACCACTGAGGTCTGGCTTTTCTCTCTGCTGGACACATGGTGTGGGGGCATACATATAGCTTAGGTTTGGGATGGTGCCTAAGGGGCATCACTGATGCACAAGTAGCCCACTAGAATTCATTTCGCTCCACAGGTAAATTGCCTAGGGGTGGGGAAGGTGACCTCAAGATAGAGCCCCCTGGTTCCGCCTCCCAGCCTCCCACCACTCCAGCGTCCCATTTAGGGCAAAATCCTCCATCTAGACTTTGTCAAATAATACAAACTGCTAATACTACATTGGAGCTTAAAGTTGCCTTTTTAGTGGGTGGACATTGTAGAATGTTCAAGTCAGACCCTGCACTTCAAACAATTTTAAGATTCTTCTTAAGGAAAATACAATTTAGGTATGTAGAATTAGATATCAAAGTAAATATTAATTAATGATAAAATAGGAAGAGTAAGCCATCTAACAGCATAAACTTCACATACTGCCAAGGCACTTTCCAGGACCCTAGGAAAGAGTACAAGGCTCGAGAGGCCCTGGGGATAAATCTAACTCAGACAGGGGTACAAATGCCATGTGGATACCTATTGGCAGAGTGGTGGAAATAGAAAATCTCTTGTCTAATACATCAATTTCAACCCTCTGCAGGTCTTCCCTTCCTTAAGTCTAATATCACTAACACAACTGCTCACCCTGGCGTCAGACCTGCAATTGGTAAGTGCTCTTTAGGTCATGCATCATTCATCTTCTAGATTATTCATTGTAAAATATTATGCTTAATGTAGAGCACAGAAGAGAAGCAAAAACGTAGGGAAATGGCTATCCACCTGTGCATGCACACACACGTGTTCACTGCAGATGAACAAAAGGAACCAGAGAAAAGTCAAAGAGAGCTGGATTCTAGACACTACATCATGAAAAGATCTCCTTGATAAGAATACCTGTTCTAAAGGAACTGATCTAATTCTTCTCCCCTCTTCTCCCTATTCGTCCACCACACCTTCATTGGTGCCCACTACGCCATCCACATGGAACCCCCACATGAGCAGATTCACCCTGATAAGAAGAGCAAGCTGGACACAGCAGAAAGATCTTCAGCCTTGTTACCAGGAGCTTTTAAGTTTAATCTGTGTGCAGTGGAAAAACAACTACCTGTTCTAATTAAAATGGACTTTTTCCTGTGTTCACATTCAAGCACAGCATTACTTCATATTCTGACTAAATAACTTATTCTTTACTCCATAATTTTTATGGGGTATCTCTTGTAATCCAAAAGCGAGCTCCTTACACCCCCAACCTCGAGTCCAAAAATGGGGCAAGACATGTTTTTGTAGTAGCAGAATAAACAAGTCTGAATTTTGTCATTTAATTATGTACCCAGTAAAATACTACATACTCACATAACCAATCCTCCCTCTAAATGTAATTTTTTTTTTACATTTAGCATATACATTTTAATTTTCTAACTTTCTCACTGCAAGAAACACAATGAAAATCTCCCTCATTTCCCCACAGCTTACTCCAGCCTCAGGGACAAAACCTGGGGCCCAGACACTTCAGTTATCCCTGGGAGCATTGCAAGGACAAAATCAGCTGCAACCACAGGTAAGCAGGACAACTAGCCCTCAGTTTAACATTAGAGAGCTCTAGGGTAGGCCAGTGCATGGTTGAAAGAATTCTTAAGCATCTTGAAAATTATACCCAGGTCATTTGAAGATCTATAAGTGGACCCTCGACTTATGGACTCAATTTGGTCCTGCAAACTGTGGCAACCCAAGTTGTCAGCTGAAGGCTCAGGGTCCTCAACACAACCCTTTGAAGTCTCTCTCCTGTACACAGGAAGATCTCAGTGTCCTTAGAGAGACAGTGGCTCAGGATTTCTCATCAAGATGTACAGGATTTCTGTCCTGTACATCTCATTGTACAGGACAGAATATTGCCATGCTCCTTCCAGAGCTTTTTAAGGGTTAAATCTGCATCTGAGACCATCTGGGCACAAGCTGCATGCATTTAGGTCATAACTCAAGATGTTGATCATAAGTTAAAACTAAAATTAGGGTCTTAACTAAATCGTTCATATGTCAGGCCAGTTGTAACTTGAGGGTCCACTGAATGCTGTGTGTAACCTAGAATGGTACTTGGTGGTTTGGTAATGGCCAAAGCCACACCCAGAATGCTGAGCACGCTGCCTATAGTATCTGCTCTAGAATACATTTATAATTAGTAACAGGAAAACCGAAGAGCTGGGAAAGATTGAAAAGCAAAGACTCTAAGGAGAGAAACTGGGAGGAACTGTGATTGTTTTCTAATGTTGTTTTCTACTGAAGACTTTCTGGTTGACCAAGATCATCCCAAAGAAAAATTAAGAGATGGGTAGGTTTGGTTTTTTGGTTGCTTGGTTGGTTGGTTTTGGTTTTCTTTCAGCAAATCTAATTTTCACCTTCTTGGTGTTCTTTCTTCATGTACCCTCAAAAATTTCCAAGGGGCTCTCACTTATTATGGTCTAACTTTCCACTACTGCTTGCTTTCACAGAAAGCCTTGGAAAATACTATCATACTAAGATAAAAGGAACATACTTAAGATATCATTTTGGGGAAGCATTTGCATTTTAGTATCAGACAACTCCAAATTCTTAGCTTCTTGAATCTTCTCTTAACAACTTAACAAGTCTTGGAGAAAATGCACTTATCCTGTTACGGTTATACTAAATTGTTTTGGATAATTTATTCTCTCCAACATGTCAGGACTGTTATTGCCACACAATTATTTAAAGTTTTGTAGAATTATTTATTGTTTATTTTGTTAGTATATTTGAAAGAATTTTTAAAATACATGCAAGCAAAAAGAATTTTTAAAAATCACCTAGAAACAAACTATAAACATTCCCAGACTCTTGTATTATTTAGAGTACACTTTCAAAAGAAACTATGTTCTTACTAGACTAGATGTTCTGTGATCTGATATTTTTTCCACTAAATACATTTTGAATAGTTGTCTTACCTTAAAATTCCTTTACTGCATTATTTTAGTGAGTGCTTAAATTCTTTTTTTGTGAAAATGCAGGCATTTTTTCCCCAAACTTTCTGCTTCTATAAACAATGCCCCAGTAAACACCTTGTAACTGAGTCTTTGACCATGTCAGTGAATATTTCTCTTGGACCAGTTCTTATAAACGATGTCTTAAACGAAACACACACAAAATATCTTATAAAGTAAACCTTGGTCATAAAGTCCACCCCGAAAAAGGTTTGAGAAGATATGAATAAAATGAGACTCCTTCACACATGTTCCTGGCGTGACTCACACTCAACTGCCCTGCTTCAGTCCCAATTGCCGCCCTGCTCTGAACTTAAAGACAGACTTAGTATGCCTTCTTATCCCCTAGCAAATACTCACTCACTGCAGTCAAAGGCATGCGAGGTCACTGTAGAATTTATAATAGTTCTGATGTACGGGGCCACCCAGTGTAGAAGAATGTGAATCAGACTCAGCCTCAGTGAGGATTCTTCAATATCTCTGGACTGTGCCTTCACTGAGGACACCCCACCTATGCAGCTCCAGTCTGCAAGATCACATCTCCCTAGACAGAGGCCAACTCTTTCCACCCAAACCTGGGCACCATGGGCAGCCCCCAACTACCAAAGGAAAGTCAGCCTGGTTCAGAGTGAATTCTAGAGCCATACACTTCCTGGTTAAATCTAGGCTCTTCATGTAGTTTTAGGATAGAAGAGAATTCCAGAACATTCCAACATCTCACTTAAATCTTTTCCAGCTACAAATTCATAACATTTAGTTACCAGTGACTGCAGAATTATTTCTTACCTAATTCTAAGAGCTCTGCCAATTCTAAGAACTCCTATGAGTCTTCACCATGCCTTATTTTAACAACAAAACATCAGGCAGCTATTATGAGAATAAACAAACATGGTTCAAGAAACTTCTGTTTTTAAATATCAACTGCGTGTTTTAACATGTCTTCTGAGACAACATATAAAAGAAATCTATGCATTTTATCATCATTGTTCCTTGAAATAATTTCTATATGAAATCTGCTAGACACTAAAATTACTTTTTGTTTATGTGTGATAGCTTTCCATTACTATAACAAATACTGAGGACTTTCGGCTTCACAAGAGATTCTGGATGATGGTTATAGAGATTTAGTCTGTAGTCAGTGGTCTCCATTACATTTGAGGCCATAGTAAAGTAGCACATCGTGGCAGAAAGCATGTGGCCAGGGTGCAAGAGAAAAACAGTAGAGACAGGAGTCCCAACGTCCCCTTCCAGAGTCCCTTTCCCAGTGACTAGGAGACTTCCCAAGATGGCCCATTTCTTAAAACTTCACCACCTCAAAATAGCACCACAAGCTGACAGCTCAGCCTGTGTCACACATGGCTTTGGAGGACAAAAGCCCAAGCGCTGTGCTAGCTTTTGTCTAATGCACTGGCATGGGCAAGGTCTTAAACACCTACAGGACTACCTCTGAGATGAGTCCTATCCAGCTTCGTGAATTTTTGTTTGTGATTATAGACAATACATAAGTAACAAATACTGGCTAAGCAAATATTGTATCTTTTTTTAAAAACCCTCAATATTTATACTATCTGCCAGAATTTACCTTTGAATATATTTTTAGTGAACTCTTTTCTTTCGCTTTCAGTTATTACCAATTTTTGTAGCACAACTTGGAGCCCCGGTAAGTTATTTTAATGATTTTTACTTTAAATCATGTTGATGTGAAATATTTAATCTTGTCCCAATTTGCCAGTTAGTTGCCAAGTTTTTTGTTTATTTTGCACTGTATGGCCACTGATCATAACAGGAGTTAACACTTAATGAGCACTTACTATATGCCAAGCACTGCATGTAAGTACTTTACATCAGTTATTTTATGAAATATTGAAGACAATCTCTTGAAGACATGATTTTATGTCCCATTTGAAAATTAGTAAATAAAAACACTTACAGGTATTAGTGAGAGTTTCATCTTTAGTAAATGCATCAGATGAAGCAACCATGGTCAATCCTCTAAGCCAAACTGTTAAGGGATAATCTAATCCATGAGATTAATCATATGAGTCATGACTTGGGGTTATATTTTAATCTCAAATTTACACTTACCTATATGCATTTTCCAAAAAATCTGACTACTTTCTCTCCTCTCTTATTTGCTTTTGTGACAGTAATTCTCAATAGCACTGATAAAATCATCAAGGATCAGGATTAATATCAGCATAGATGATAACTTTTACTTCTAAAAACAGAATCAAATATAAAATTCCTAATAACTCTTAATTCCACATCTGGGAACATGTCCCAAAAAAATAATATGGAATACAGCACAGTTTTATGCACAATACTGTCATCAAAGGAATATTTTAATAGAGAAAAATATTGAGTATAACTCAAATTTAAGACTAGGAGAAAAATGGTTAGGTAAACTGCAAAATAAGAGTAAATACTATGTGGTCATTCAAAATTATATTTACTAAAATTTGTCAGTAATATGACTACTATGGAATGCTAGAAGAAAAAGCCAGACAAAATTGTATTAATGATGTAATTTCTGTTACATACAAAAGAAATATATGAAAAAATACAGCACATCAAACTAAATGGTGGAATTATGTCTCTTTCTCTCTTTCTCTCTGTCTCTCCTCAGTGTCCAAGTTTCCTCCACTATGCATCTATTACTTAAGATGGAAAAGTATACAACTGTTTAAATGATGGCGACCTCACATTACCTAAATATATATTAACATTCCTGTATCATATGGTACTATCTTTGTAATAAAGATCATAAGACAGTTTAACATATTGTTGAAATTTTTTTAATGTTTCTTTATAATACTTCATACTTTAAATAATTTAATACTTATTTTGTTATGCTTTATAATGTATATTGCTTTTTTTTTCTGTCTTTTTAAGACAGGGTCTCACTATGTAGTTAGGTTGGCCTTGAGCTCACTTTGTAGCCCAGGCTGGTCTCAAACTCACAACAATCCTCCTGCCTCAGCCTCCCAAGTGCTAGGGTTACAGGCGTGAGCCACCATGCCCAGCCTGTATATTGCTTTTGATATATTAAAATTTGTCTAATATTTTGTGTTTATAATTTTGCTTCTAGGCTGCCATCCTGAGCTCTGAAGAACTGGTAAAAAAAATTCAGTCACTATCACAGTAACTTGTTTTTACTTCTACCACAATGCCTTCTGTCCTCACATACTCTTCTGACTACAAACCCTGAATCTTACAACTTATAGTCTGTTCAGTTTTAGTTTTTTACAAAGGCAGTCATTCACTTTTCTTATTTCAAAAGTGTGGGTATCATCATCCTCAGTTTTGAAAACTTGTGTATCATCTGGTCTAATCCTAGTTCTGGTTTCATAAATCTACTTCAGGATTCTCAAACCTAAAATAGTGTTTTTTCAAATGTTGGAGACCACTGTGAAGCGGCTCTGAGCAGGATTTCAAATTAACTAATTGGCTTTCTATGTTTATGTGTGAGTCTGGCCTAGGCCTAGGCCCCTTGCCTGATGATAGGAGCTGATTCATGGTAAGTGAATCTCTATCAATCTCTAGTCCTGGCTGAGGCCTGTAGTGGCCTGTGAGCCAGAGATACCTCAAAGGGCAAGATAAGGTCACAGCTGAAGATACCTTGGCTCCAACACTAATTAAGTAAATAGAGACTGCAGCTGAAGGAATTTCACTCCTGCAGTCTCAATTCTACCATAAATGTCATCCTGGGGGTAAGATGGGTCTCCTTTAAATTGGCATATTTTACTACTTGGAGAAGTCTCCTAAGTCACTTAAAGTGACTCCCAAGGTCCTGCTCATTTCCTGAGCTTTCCTCAGTTTCCCCACCCTTTGTTTTGGACCTAATAAAAATGGGTAGTCCAGAGAAGTCTTTATCTTAGCCCTCAGAGTTTTGAACTCAGCTAAAAGGGTTTGACCCTCCTGGAGCCCTAAAATCATAGCACTTGTCCATTTTATTTAAGCCTTTGTCATTCACTCATTTGAGAGATTGGGTATCTAGGTCAGGACCCAATAACCAAAATTCATTCTTGGCCCACTAATTCAGGATGACTTTGAGAAGTAGTTTAAAATGCAGGTCTGTGGGTCCAGACCCAAACCCGTGCAAAAAGAATCCCTCCCACAATGGAAAACTCCAAAAATTCATTCAGCTATTTAAAAAACCACACAGAGTAACTGAATGCACAAGAGAAATATTTCTGAGTGAATATCCCAAGGCTTAGAAGCACTCAGTGGTAGCACACTTGCACAGCATGTGCCAGGCCCTGGGTTTATTCCCTACCCTGAAAACAAAAATTAAAAAGATTCAAGCAGTGAAGATTATGGCTGGTTAATCCACTTGAACTAATTTTTCATTTAACTTTTAGTCTCCTGACTTGCTTAATCCTTTTTTCAAAAGAAAGGCTATGTTTTAGATCAACAGCCCATCATCACTGTATGCATTTTTTGCCTTAAGAGTCCTGTAGATAGCGTAGTTGCCTCTCCCCACAGCTGGCTCAATCCTGCTTTCCCTTTCTGAGGGAGATACTTTTGCCCAATGTATCTTCTCTGAGGAATGTTGGATCTTTATGTTTCCTCTGACTCTACCCTCTCCATCTTCATGTTTCTATGCCAGCTTTCTGCCCCCTAAAGATAAAAGTTCAACCAATCAAGCATGTCCCTTTTGACTTATTTTCTGTTCCTTTCTCTTCTCTAGCCATTGGCCCCCCAGATCTTCACTGGCCTCCTCCTGAATCCTTTGTTCCCAGAAGGCACCCTGCCCACCAGTCAGGCAGGGGCTAGCCCGAATATCCAGGAAGAAGCCATTCCAGCAGGACAAACAGGAGTGAACACTAACATGCAGGTCACCACAGAGGGCCAGCTCTCAACTCCTGGTGTCACGGATGATGACTTTGAAGTGACCACCACTTTGGGCATCCAAAAGGTCACACACACTCCTGAGAAGACCACCACAGGGTCACCAAATTGTGAGTTCCTCTAGCTTAGAAAGTAGCTCTCATGTGCAAGTCACTCACAGAATGGGACAGAACAGTTTTTTGTCTTGCTTTGACAGGTGCAGATCTTAATCAACAAAGGAGCCTCTCTGCTCACTCATGGTTTATTTGAGTAAAGTGAAAGAAAGCTTTTCCTGGGCCACAAACCCTATGCTATTAAACCTGAAAGAACACACTTAACTGCTGACATAACATGGGTCAAAGCTGGAAATGTTTGGAAGCAGGCTGTGCTGCTCTCCATCCTGTCTTCTCCGAGTACACACACTACATGCACTCACACACATGCACACACGCACACACTTCATACACAGGCCCATACTTTGTTACAGATTGTTACAGAAAACAGACCAAACATGAGAAGCAGCAGCACCAAAAACCAGCGGGCTTCACTGGGATTTCTCTACCCAGTCAGCTCTGCCCAGTAGGGGACCAGAGCTTTTATGGGGAAGGGAGGAGGTAGGTACAAAGGCAGATTTAGTGCATTATGATTGGAAGGTTGGGGTGACACCTTTCAGTTGCTAAGGGAGTGTAGACATTTCAGGTTATATTGTAAAGCCATCGGTTATACAAAGCACGGATTACACAGAGGAGGAAACGGCCTGTTTATATGTTAAGTTATATTGCAAGAGCATCAGTTAGACAAGCTTCACACAAAGGAAGGAATGTATCAGACTTGTCCAGACACAAACATGTCGGCCTGGTCTTGGCAAGCATCCTTGGCTGACTTTATTTAAAATTCTTAATTCCCCTTCAAGATCAGTTTATCATGATCTGTTTTTCAGCTTATTAGAATGAGCCTCAGAACTTCCTGACATAATATTGCAAGCAGCCACTGGTAGGCTGGAGTTCACTCAACAGAAGAGACTTGCAAAGTGTTGCAAAAAATAAGCTTTTCATAAAAAAAAAATAAGCTTTTCTATCTGTGCTATAATTATAGCAAATACAGTTAACATTTGGGGATACCTAGAACCAAGTATGCTTAGGTTTAAAAAAAAAAAAAAAAAAGAACTGACTCGATACTGAAATGCCTAATTTGGGAAAAGAAAGTTAATTTCATGTGGAATATTTTAATTCAAAATGTTTTATCTGCATTTAAAAGGTATTTTGTTTTCTTCCAGGAATTCACTAAGATGCATCAAAGTTTTTCAACTAAACAGCCTCAAATTTGGTGGCACGTGTGAATCACTTTTACTAACTACACTACAGAATAGATTGAGACACGCTAGAGGGTCTCAGAAGAAACTCAGTGTACCTTAAAACTTGCTTTGAAATTCAGAAAACATGTTAAATGTAGAAAATACTAACTTCTGAAAAAGAATAGTTGAACGGGTAAATTTGTCTTTGAAATATTACATTACACCGCTGGAAGATTCGTGTATTAAAATATATGTTGAAAACTGACTCTTTTCTTCTTTGGTAATGAAGCAACCTGGATGTCTTCAGAAATGCATGACCTCAGGACATCAATATGACACAAGCTCTAAGACATCTAGGTCCAGGACTTTCTCTCAAAGTAGGGAGCACATTAGTCAAAGGAGAGAGAGGACACTCAGCAATGTGAGAACAAATTCTGATCTGCTCCCAATTGCCTCAGACTCACTCTCCCATAAGACAAACAAATTTAATTTTCAGTAAGCTGCTGTGACCCACACAGCTCTTAAGGTTCCTGGGGTGAAAGATTGTGAGAGGATGAAAAAATAAAGAGGAGACCAAACTAGGGTCACGTGGAACCCTCCTACTGATGGGAAGAAAGGAACAGCCTCCTCACTGTAGGGGTATTTATTTATACATTTAGCAATTTAATGTCACATGATACCACATTGACTAGTAATCTACAACCTAAGAGTCTGATTGCTGGGGTCTCAAGTCACCATTTCCTGCAGCTTGCCCCTATGGTCTCTGTTCTTAGACCTGGCTGGCTAGCTCCTGTAGGTATAGTCAATTTCTAACTTCAATAGCTCTCTACAATAAGCAAATTATTTTCAAACACTTATGACACACAGTGAAAATAAATAATTATAAATCATCACCTGTCTTCAACCTGCTTTACAGTCAAAACTAGTGATTACAGCATTTAATGTTTAATTTTTTAAACATGTTTTTTCTATTTTAAAGAGAAAAATCAAGAAGCAAAGAGACAATTAAAAAAAACAAAAACAAAATGATGGCAATAAAAAAAACAATGGCAATATAGGATTTCAAAACAACATGATAGAAATTTAACAATGGGTGTTATATTGCAGACTGTTATCCTCAAAGTAATTGCTCAGGCTACCAAATAGAAGCATGCAAGATTGATCAAACAATAAAAATTTCCCTTTGAGTAATTTCTTTCCCTTTTACTGTATCTATTGTAACTTTTGTATTTACTCTTTCAATTTCTTACACTAATGAGACAATATGGTATTTACACATGTAAATCTGATTTACTTCACTTATGAGCATGGTTTCTAATTGCATCCATTTACCTACATAAGCCTAAGTTTATCATTCTTTATGTCTGAGTAGTATTCTATTATGTAAAAAATACCACATCTTTTTATCCATTCCTCAGTTGATGGGCATTTTAAATTAACTTTATTGGTATGCTTTTTTATTTTGAAGATAATAAAACTCAACAAAACAAAACAGAATAAATCCACTCAAAACAAAATTAGTACAGAACTTCAAGGCAGAATAATAGGAAATCAACAAAGGCTCCCACAGTATATCCAATTATCCTCATAATAGTTGTCCATTCCACCAAACATAGCAAAATCAAATCAAACCAAACAGAATAAAACCAACCAAAACAGGACATTGAATAAAGCAAACAATAAATTGGACCAAAACAAAACAAAGAGAACAATATTGGATTTCAAAAACAAGACAGAAAAAAATCCCCCATATTTGCTATATTGCATACTGTCATCTTCCCAGCAGATGCTTCAGCACCAGCCCCCAATCCTGCAAAGTCAACCAGCAGTAAAAGCGTTCAGTCGCTTTTTGTATTTCAGTTGCTGTCCACTCAGCCTGGCCTCTGAACCAGCCGGTTGCTGTGGGAGGAGACAGTCTTCCTTCTCACCCAGTGCACTGTAGTCTCAAAGGAGGCTTATCTAGCTTCTGGCTTCTTGGGCCAGGCACGAGTTGCTTGTGTGGCTTACTGTAGGAGGGCTGATTGGCTTCTTCTTGATGGACTCCTCCCAGACCGGGATGGCTTTCGCAGACTCACAGGAGGTGCCTTCTGACTTCCGGCTTCCTGGACCCCACGTGGCTTACTTGCACAGCTCACGGGAGGGGCTGATTGGCTTCCAGTACACTTTTGATACACACAGTGATCACATTCATTATAGGGAATTGGCACCTGTATATAATATACCTTAATTCTTTTTTTCCCATTCCCCTCCCTCCTTAAACATGCAGTGAAATGTTTAATGTAAAAGTTTAGTGAGAATGGTGTTATTGTCTTTATTTTATTTCTTTTCAATTTTATTTTCATTAGTCCATGTTTCCAACCCTTCCTCTCTTCCTTATTTACAAAGCCATGTTTCCATTCTTTTCTATTCTCTTTTGCTCCTCTTCCCCCTCCTCTTCCCTTGTTCCTGTTTAATTTTGCTATATCTGAGTGGAAAAAGGCACTGATGAAAGTAATTACTAAAATAGACCTTGCTCCATCTGTCTAAAAAGTAGGATTTAATCTGATTTAAATTTATAGCTTAGACCATTGCAGTTTGGGATTGGAAGGGGGTAGAACAATTGATCCCCGGAAAGGGAAATTATGGATCTGGTTAATAACATCTCTTCCTGCCTGTTTTTGGTTCCATCAGTCTGGAAAAATCTAAATATGCACCCATGAAATACATTCTCCATGTTAAGTTGTTCAGGTGATTAAAGATTTAATAGGAGTTAAGGGTTTATCACGTATAGTGTCTTAGATTTGCAGAATCTGAATAATATATGTATGAACTGTGAAGTTTTTCATTCCAGCTGAGAGTAAATTAGGACTCAGTCTCTCATAAATATTTTTCCATTAATGTTAATAATTTTAAATGTCATGAAGTGGCTTCCTTGATAATACCTATCCAAAAAACCTAGAGCCTTTCTTTTCTTATCTATAATTATAAGAGTAAAAGTCCCATCATAGCTAACAGGCAAGGTCAGTATGACAAATTAAATAATCCATGAAGATGCTTTGCCAGCTCCAAACCACTATAGAAATTCATTTTTTTTTTTATTTTCAAAGTCTTTCAAACCAGTTGAGGCTACCTGTCCTTCCAGCCCCACACCTTCCTCCCTAAAGTGCCACATATGTATCTCCGTGATATGGAAACACACTGCACTCTACGGACTGCAGGTGTAAGATCACCATCGGGACCATCGTCCCCCTGAGAGGTGCTGTCCTGTGAGACCTGCACACCTTCCAAGGGCCACAGGAACATAAGTGGCTTCAGGGCTCAGTTTCCAGCCTCCACTTAACGCACGTAGTTTCCTGTAATTTACTGCTGACAGCATGTTCTCCTTTTCCCCGACTTTCACAGAGATACACTCCTTGCCATCTTATCAAAAAAAAAAATAAATAGACTTTGTTTCATCTCTCACAGATCTTACTGTGGAAGTTGCTTTGGACTAGAAACCCTCAAGGACACAAAACAAAAGAAATTAAAATATTGATTGCTGGTGTTAGAATAAAAAGGACCCTTTGCAACTCAGGTAGTTCTTAGGTCTCAGTTTTCAACAAAATTAAACAAGGAGCTGATGAAATTATCAGTTTACTAAGTGGTTAAAATAATTTTGATGGATGGAAGTGGAGACAATCATGTTAAGTAAACTAAGCCAGACTCAGAAAGTCAAACATCACAATTTCCCCTGATAGGAGGAATTTAGGAATAAAAGAGAGAGTGAAACAGGAAAGGAGCTGAAAAAATATTAGCAAAGATGAAGGGTGATGGATAGCACTTGAGGCAGTGCTGAGCAGTTTTAGAATTAGTCAATTGGCCTTTCCACATAAACTTAAGAGTCTGTCCCAGACCTGGGTGATTTGCCCGAAGATCCATCAGCTGGCTGCAAAACATAGAATTCTTTACACCAACAGTCATAATGGAGACCTGTAGTGGCCTGTGACACTGTGACACCACTGAAGGCAAGGTAAGGCCACAGCTGAGGGCACTAACTTACTTAGAATTCAAAGGACCTAAATGTCAATCTCAGAACTAAGAGGGTCCTCTTCGTTAGCAAACTTACCAGCTGGAGTGTTTTGGTTCTGACTTCTCAAGGCCTGCCTCATTTGCACACACCCTTTGCCTCAGAGCTGCCCACCGCTTTCCTGCACCCACCTTATAAGTTAAAGACCCCGTAAATACTGATAGTCCAGCGAAGACTTTGCCTTAGCTTTAAGAATGCTCTGAGCTTCCTAGATCTTCACAAACCATGTAGCTTCATCTTTTTTATTTGATCCTTCACCGTAAACTCATCCATAAGATTAGGAGACTGATCAGCTTCCCATAGAAGAGGTTAGGGGAAAGAAGGGAAAGAGATTACTAGTGGTAGAGGAATGATCAAAATATGTCATATGTGTATATGACTATGTCAAAACAAAGCCTTTAGTCTGTGTAACTAATATGTACTACTTAAAATTTAACTTTGATGATGGAAATTAAAACTAAGAAATTTAAATGATTTAGTTATAAATTCATTTTAAAATATTAATGGTAGATTGATTACACATTGATATGCATACCATAATAGATATTTTACATGAAAATAGCTTCATTTTTAAAATGCAGTGAAATGTTTAATGTAAAAATTTAGTGAGAATAGTGTTATCGTCTTTATGTTATTTCTTTTCAGTTTTATTTTCGTTACTCTATGTTCCGTTAGTCCATGTTTGCAATGCATAAGGACTACACTCATCGTGGCAAATTGATACCTGTACAGAACTCACCTTAATTCTTCCTCTTCTCTCCCTCCAGTTCCTTCCATCTTGATATCCCTGAAATCTCTTTCACATTTGACTCATTAAATTCTCAGACCTGCTTCTGCCTTCACTCTATATCTGTCACAATATCACATAATGATGCTATAAAATTGTTCTGTATACTCTTGGGAAGACAATGAAAAAAAGAAAATAAGTTTTTGATATTTAAAACCAGCATTCCTTTGCTGACCCATCCAAAGGATCCAGGAGCTTTCGGAGCAAACTGTGAGAAGAGCTTTGAGCAATGTCACATGGACCTATCTTTATCCCATTCCCGGACTGACACTGAAAATCACTCTCTGTTATGTCTGTGGCTTAAAATACAAACATTTAATTGTTTATTATGCTGCTATACTAATGTGTCCCAGAATGCAGTAATTTCCATAAAATCAGTTTCATGCAATTCCTACCAAAAATGAAATACAAACTACCACAAGTGCATAATTAC